AATGTAAGAAGAATAATCAACTATGATTGGTTAATTTTTTACTCTTACTTCTTACAGCTCGTACTTTATTTTGTAGACGGACATTGTAGACGAACCTTAATGGATGCTACTACGCAGTTAATTCAACAAATCATAAATCTGATTTGCTAGTAATGCAGAAGTTAGGAATGAGGAGGTTAGAAATGACGTTCAGCAAAACAGCTGTATTAGCTGCAGAAATATTTCTGCAAGAATTTGGGGAAAGAAATAGCAACGCTTCAGACATTCTGATATCGGATTCTATTTCTTTGAAACCATTTTCTATGCCGCAATATTTCACGTACACACGAGGCATCTAACAGCAGCTATCTCACTCTCACCAGGCTTGGCAGCAGTGATGCGAGCTCGCATGGACTAGAGATTCTTGAATCAGAGTCTAGCCATAACTACAATTTTGTCAGAATCCTACGAGAAAGAGGGACATATTCTCAATATCTATCTTTGTCTGCATTTCCTTAACCTACTGTGATAAGACTGTGACTGGATACTGTGTGGGATTTGATAAAACATGGCGGAAAAACTGGCTGTTTTATAGCCAGACTCTGATTCGGAGTCTCTAGGGATGTGAAAACAACGGTTCACTCAGTCTCATGAATATCATCGATATATCGACAGTAACTAAAGACTTTTGGCTGGCCGCATTCGTTTCTAGCTACGCGTTGCCTATGACTATTGATCAATCGAACAAGCGGGAACGTATTCAAAGTAGAAGTGACATTTTGATAGCTTTTGATAGCTCGTACGTGTCAATAAAAAGAGTTAATTATGTGACAACATGCATATATATATAACGAACATTGTAAACGAACCTTAATGGATGCTACTATGCAGTTAATTCAACAAATCATAAATCTGATTTGCTAGTAATATATATATATATATATATATATATATATATATATATATATATAGCTATATATTTTTTTCCGATTAATTATTTAAATTAACTTTATATATTAATCTCTTAATCTTTTACTGTCTCTCTATTGATTACGCATAAAATAATCCTCTTTAACCTAACCTAGCTTATTGTGATAGAATTATTGTAACTGAATACTATGTGAGATTTGATAAAATTTAGTTGGCAGACCAATCAAAACTGGTTGTCTTATAGCCAGACTCTGATTCAAGTCTCTAGCACGGACTATCACGACGCAAGAGTTTTATTTGTCTTCGAACCGCTTTTGCTTGCCGTTATATTTATTGGCGTTCCTGACATTATAAGTTGTACTTAAGATGAATTTTGTACATCCAACATAAATAATGTGACTTGTATTTCAGGCGATGTATGTCTGTTAAAGTGACAAATGATAGAAAATAATCTGTAACGGTAACTCGATCTGTTTTCGTGACGATCATCAGACAGCAAACGTGCCTTTGCTGCGGTAACAAAAGGACTTTTCTCAGAAACCGCGAAAGCGCGTGGCATCTCGACAAATCGCAACGTATCTTCTCCCATATGGACGTTCGCATTTACATACACGGCGTGGTAATAGTTCCTTTTTTTCTCCTTCTCTCCTATGTATACGTAGTACCTACTTATGCTCGCTCACGTGGGTATGTACTACAATGTAAACGAGCTCCGATCGGCAACGCGCGCGCGCGCGCGCACGCGCAATCGAACGGGCTCTCGTGTTCTCAAGGATAATAACGCGGGCGTTGCGAAAAAGTCTGAGAGCGAGATGTGCCTTATCTGCTCCGGAACGTTTAACTCCCCATTAAAATGCCTCGCATGTCAGCGCATGAGCATAATCGCACAATGAGGCCCGCGGTTACGAAACTTCGCACGATGTATTCGCATGGCGGTGGTCCCTTGAGTGCAACATTATTACGCTATAAAATGAGTTAGCTCGAGGAATTAAGAAAAAAAAGCGAGGAAACGCCGGAGAAGAAAGGAACTGTCTAAACACAGAGGCAAGACGGAGAAAGGAAGACCCGCGCTTTACATTTAATTCATTCTAAACCACCGGTTAGCTCGTTTTTCCCCGTAACACTCTACGAAAGAAGACAGAGACGCGGGGAAAATGCGAGGATATGATGAGACGCAGACAGTCATTTACGGCGGTTACTTTCGTGAAGGAGTTACTCACGGTGCACGCCCTTCGCGGCGAAAGGGCTAATTAGGCGAGCGTACCGGAAGATTAGAGCGACGGCCCGAGTCTGTTCTTCCTCATCTGCCAAGTAGTAACGGTAAATCGAGATCAGTCAACCTCCGGGCGAATCAAACGACGACGACGACGACGACGACGACGAGTCCGCGATATTTTTCTTCGGCCGCGTTTCCGCGCATTTACATTTGCAGCTGGTTTGCCCCTGCCACGATAAATTACGCTCCGATACGCGCACAGGACTGAATATCTCCCTTGTAATCCACAACGGTGAACGACACCAATTTGCGAAATGGATCTAATGGAGCGGAATCACGCGCGCGTATTGGCCCGTTTGATATCTAAAACAGATCCGAAGCGCGCACGATTGCACACATAGTGCGACGGGTTATAATTAATATTTAACAGCCTGTCGTGGGTGAAGGTTTGCATAACGTTTAACGCGTTAATGAGCGACTGCCAAGTAACTCGAGGCAATGATATAACCCACCGTGGGCTGTCCTAGTTTCGTGGAAAGATACAGAAACGGTTGTGTCACAAAGGTCACCCGGACGCGCGTAACGCAACGGGTCGCCTTCAGGTGGGTGGTGATAGCTCTCTATAATATATATAGAATGTGATTTCCATATCGGCCTGCGGGTGACAATGAAACGTTCCGCGCGCCTTGCCTTGAACATATCGCGCAAATTTCATGCGCTTCGCCTTGCGCCTCCCTCGAAGAGGATGAAAGTCCAGCCGTAAGGACTGGGACGAGAGAAGTGACGAGAATATTCTCTACTCGAGAATATCTGACAAGTAAACGTTCGTAGAACGTCAGACGCCGATTTGTTTCAAATCTTTCAGTTATTTTTCACTTTGAAGTACTGAAATACTGCTTTGACTCTTTATAAGCTTGTGGTCGATACTTTAACCACCTCATATAAAGTTAAAAATGTCTATTGTCTTACATTGGATATTCGACCATAACGTGTAAAGCAATTCCGGATCGGATTATGATTTGAGATGATATATAGTGGAAAGCAGATCTACACATATAACCATACAAAAAATTGCTATAAAAAATGCTGTTCAAAAAATGAAAGTACGATATCTACTTATAGTACGTAACATAAATTAACATTTTTATAATTTTTTTGACATGAGTGTAAATACCTCAGATTAGTACAAATAAACAATATTTTGTATTTATGCGAAGTTCAAGTTTTTATCTACAAATATTTTAATAAAAACGTAAATTTTCACAAGTGATTAAAATATTGACCACAAATTCTGAATAACAGAAGTATCCATTCTTCTGAATAAATTGTAGTCGATTTTTTACCAAGCAATAATTATAATAATAATAAGTATTCTTATATCTCTCATACATATGTCGTGTATTTAGATATATTATGTAAACTTGTAATAGATATTAAAGTCACCACCTTTAAAAAAATTTTTGCCCTATAAAGGGCAAAAATTAAACATATTAAAAGGTTAAAATCGTGTATTTACATAAAATTGAAAAATATAAAAAAATGAAAAATCTACTTAAACTAAAAATAACGAGATTTTTTTATACTTTTTGACATGAAAAACAAATGTAAAAAATTTGAAATTAATCAGTCTGACTTTTTTATGTAATTTACTTGTAAGAAGCAAGATCATCACGAAGATACCGCTTTAATCTCAAATAAATGCGTGTTCCATGTAAAATCAAATAAAATAAAGTTTTAATTTGTGATTTAAAGCTCATATTTCCTCGCAGCAACTGTCTTGATTAACAATTAGAGTGATCAACTGTCCCGAATTTTGCAGAACATCTCGATTTTCGGCTTTCTATGGAGGAGTCCTAAAAGAACCTTAGGCGAGACGCCATTTGTCCCGATTTATTACACCCAACATAACAAAATAAATAATATAAAATTCTATTATTATGTTAATATTTGTGTAATGAGAAAATATATATTTTACGTTGATTTTTCATTGCTTTTATGTTCCGCTGATAATTGTGTGTATATATGTTATTTGGTTTTATTTAAAAAATATTATTGTTTAAAAGGCTTCTTTTTTATTTTACAGTTTTTTATAGTTTTTACTGTCTATATTTGTTAATAATATTCTACATTATAGTTAAGACATAGCAAAAGATAACGGCGCGTTTGTATTGTTCTAATACATGTAAATTTTTCGAACGAAAAACATATTTGTGAAGAGTAACAAGATAGATAGATACATACGCAAATTCTTCAGCAATTTCACTAATTTATTTGTAAACATCACATTCCTTACAAGTGGCTCATATACCATATTTATTATATAGAATATCTCTATTTATTGTACGACTCTCATATTTATTATATAGAATGACAAAATAGAAACACAAAAAAATGATCAAAATTTATTTAAAACAATGTGTTATGTAGAATGTAATATGAAAGTCTGACTATAATTTTGAGTAAATTTGTTTCTGCATCAATACAAAAATTTATGTATTATTGCACAGTGTGAATGTAGTGATTAATTCGAAACGGTACATTGGCAAGTGTACTGAAGTATAATGACATAACATAACACAACATAAATGTAATGAAAAAAATTGCAGAATTTCAATCAGCGATTGTCTCACGTCGTGATAGTCACGAAAGTCTATCTGGAGAATTGACGGCGATGTTTGGTCGATTAGCGACGCGTGCACGCGGGATACGCAATCCGCGAACTGCACCGTTACGTTTTCGTTGGCGCGAATTCGTAGAAAAACGATCGATCCCGCCGGCTCGATAAATCGACACCACCGACGGCGCAGCAGCGCGCGTCATAAATAATTTATCTCGGATAAGCCAGCGCGCTAAAGGGAGGGGGGGATTTACTCACCATAATCGGAGCGCGATCTCGCCGCTCGGATGCAGAAGAAGGTGATCCGCCGACCGCAGCATCTGCAATGAGAGAAAAATCTCTTTCAGCCGCTAATTCACCGTTAGATCTATCGGCGCGATATGCTTCCGCCATGGGGGTACCACGCGCGCTTGTGAACGCGGTCGTCTACTGAAGAAGAGAAAGGGGAGCAGAGGGAGGAAAAAATATCGAGAGAGCGAGAAAGAAAAGAGTCGGTCTCTCTCTCTCTCTCTCTCTCTCTCTCTCTCTCTCTCTCTCTCTCTCTCTCTCTCTCTGTCTCTCTCTC